TTTTTTTTTTTTTTTTTTTTTTTTTTTTGAAATACAGTTATACCATATGTGACCTAAATCCGGGATCCAGTGGTGACATTTATCTTACAGGTCAGAAAAAGTGGGATTGCTTCTGTATTATTAGGCCGCAAAGGTGCTATTAATTGGAACACGATCATTAAACATCTGCAGACACTTGACGCCTTGCTTTGTATCCGTCTCCTGCTTATTTCCGCAAGTATTTTTTTGCATTTACTACGATGTCGGTTTGTCGGAAGTTCATTGTATTGAAACCTATCACGGCACAACGGTATTATAATGCATTCTGTATACTTGACTCGGAAGAAGCTTTAATTATACAAGGTATTTTACAACATCAGGCCATTTTTTAACCTTGTTTTTGGCATTGAAAGCTGTAGATAGATTTTTTTCGTTTTAGATGTGCCTTCTTTTTGAAAGAAATATAAATTTAGTTCAGAATATTTCAGTCTTGGAATACTGGTTCCCAGTCCGACAATACATTGCTTTTTTTACTGCGTTGAATACTTTTCAAATCTCCGTATTTTCCCAACATCCGCTGCAGTTGAAATCTGATGCAAAACGTGAATATAGCGGGCTCGTTTGGCTAATAAACTATCTTATAGGGACTCATTTTCATATTTGAAATGAAGTCATGTTCCGACAGGGAACGGGGAGGGTGAGAAATAAAAGAAAATATAAATGAATTTTGAAGGATCCATAAAAATTATTAACGAGTAAGTTGTCAATCATAACTGAGCGCATAATTCTGAAATTTGTCGTATAACGATGTTTTTTTGAGTTACCGGAGTGAATTTGGAGCAGTGCAGCTTTTCAGTTCTTATTTTTGCGCAATCATGCTTGCTTCGCTATCGACTGATTAGTTTTGAGCAGAAAAATCGGTATAATATACATTATTTATCTAAAATTTTTGCTCTTTAGAAGTGAACAACTTTTGAAGAAGAAATGCGATTTCATTTCTTTGTCTTTTTCTTTCCGTAAAACTGAGTTTGAGAGACACGGAGAGAGGACATCGTTTCCTTTTCAACAAAACCCACCACTCTTTCTAGTAAGAATTTTCAGTGAGCAAATTCTAAATTAGTACTGCTAACGTTTGCACTAGTTTTTACTCCGCACTCCCCTGTCAACCTTCCGGTCGATCTAATAACCGCTGAGCTATGAGCTGATGTGTTAGCGAACAGCAAGAATACATTGTTGGCAGGCTTTCAATAGCAGTACAGTAGGGTGCCCACTGCAGAAGAAAAGAAAAAACTTTGTTTTGTAATATTTATTTCTCTCCATACATTTTTGACAAAGGGTAAACGTCAGAAGAAGCGAAGTACTGATATTTATACACAGGGATTTGAAAACAAATTAGCAAACTATTTTAAAAAGTTTGGTAATATGGTGGCAGTTCGCTAATGCAGGTCATGGGCGTTTTCTTAAACAACTGTAGTGATATTGACGGTTACTTCCGTTTCATCAACCAGAGATGCTACCTTTTTCTTCTGAAAAAGTCGTTTCCAACATAGCGTGATACCATCGGCCTGTTCAATCCATATATCCTATAAAGGTGCGTTCGGCTAACAGTAAGTGAATGAATTATAGATGAATGAAAATCAGTAGAAAGTAGATCGAACTCAATTTTGTTTCAGTTGTCATCTTTGCTGATCGTAAGTATTTGGCATTCAAGAAGAATTTCAAAGATAATAAGTGGAGACGAGAAGTTGAGTTTGGGCAGCAAACAAAAGTTTTTGAAATGAAATAGATGAAATGCTTTTAAATTAGACCAATTTAACATTGCGTAATAGAAACGTTTGAGGCATAATGATCTTCAAAAAAAAAAAAAAAAAAATTAAAACTGATTTTCCGTATTACAATTAACTGCTTGGTTTTCCCAACAAATTTATCAAAAATGAGCCATAAAGGACGATGTATTTTATTTGAAGAAGCATAAAAAGCATAAATTTCCTGTTTCCGTGATCTTTTATTTCCACCTCCGCTTAGAATAAGAGCCACTTGAAAAAAGAGAAGTTTTATTTTAAAATCAACAAACAAACCGTTGAAAGTTCCAACGGATGGCGCTCGTTTGAATTTCTGAGCAGAGAACTCTTATTTTTTGACTGTGGTGATCTATCTGTTTTTTATCCAAAAAAAAACTAATTTTTATCCATGTTTTTCAAAGTAAATGCAAGAAAAAGAGAAGGAAGAAAATTGCGATGCGAAATTCTTCTGCCTTGTGATCGTTCATGCGAACTTAAAAGTTGACTGGGAGATTTTAATGTCTTGATTGCATTTTCCTCAACTCCTAACCGTCACTGTCTTCTCAGCATTTTTTTTATAAAAAAAAAAACAACAGATTTTTTGTGATCCCCATATTTCTGTTTTCTCAAAGGCAATTTTTTTGTTTCAATTGCCTGTTAGGTTTTGGGGGGACGTATCAAAACAATTAAAATAAAAAATTCCTTTTTCCTCCTGATTTATTCTATTCTGGTACTAGTTTGAGGGAGAAAAGGACGAAATGTAAAAGATGCTTGGAAGAGAAAACTGTTGTTCACCCTCGTGAGGTAAACAATTGTTCCCAGCCAAAGTGCCAACATAATCCAACCGAAATACAGTGTCTGTTTGCGTCGATAGTCGTTACAAAACTGTGCCGTTGTACCATCAGCACAGGTCATCGTACATCTGAAGAACATCAAAAAAATTGAAAGAAAACAAAGAAAAGGATAATTGTTCCCTAAGTTCAGCAGTTTAAAGCAATGCAGAATAAAAGAAAGAAGAGAAGAAAGTGGCAAGCGTTGTGTGATATATACAACAAACGACACAGATAGAAAACTGTTAAGTAGGAGAGGTAACAATTACAGAAAACAGTTAATAAGAAAGAGAGAGCCGAAATATATAATGATAGAAGAAAGAAGAAAGGATATACTCATTAA